AATTAATCCATGCATAAGTGTGCTTTATCTCTTGCACAGGAGTGTGAACTGGTCATGAAATGCTAGTTTCTCTGTAACCTTTGCCATATGAAGGTGCAGAGTGCTACAAATACGGGCATAAAATAGGCATGCCCTTTTACATAAACAGCTCATCTCTCACAATAATGTAATCACAGTGGAGATCTTACATTTAAAACATTTCAAAACTCAAAAACATTGGCATTTTCTAAAATGGACTTTGTTAAATATATGAAATATTTTATTACATTTTAATAGAAATCCCTGCCAGCATAGCATAGCAGAAGAAAAAGTATGCAAAAGTAGCTTTCAACATAAATGTAAATACATTAAGCAAGATAATATAATAGCAAGTGGTAATTAAGAATAATTACTACCAGAAACTTTATTATTGTAGAATTTTAAACAATACTATCCAGTACTTATTATTAGAAATTGTACAATGACTTATATACCATGCTTACAATATACAGAAGTGTTAATAAGATAGCAGCATAAAACACAACTATTACAGTTAACAAATATGTTCGAAAAAGACGTATATTTCTGTAAAAGATGGGAAGACTAAAAATACATTTAAAATACTTACCTCATATGTAGGAAATAAAATTTCCTGTAATGAAGAAATTGGAGCAGAGAATTTTGGTGGAGCTGGAGCCCAAAACATTTTTAAAGCTTCTGGATAAATGGAAACCTTCAAAACCAATACAATTCAGTTATCAAATAACATAAACCCAGTTTATAAATGTCTGTACTGAACCTGAACTATTAGGTGATAAAATGCTGTTTTCTGCTAAAAATGGTTTTGTCAAGAACAACCCCATTAAATACAATGAAATCCTGAGACATAGAGGGCTCCCACAGCCTGAATGAACTACCTGTTTTGCTCTTTTAGTGTTTTTGTTTATTATTGATTAGCACATTAGCATATTTTATTACTTCAGAGAAGGAATTAAGAACTGAGACATGAGGTTTCAGAACAACACTCCCCATTGATGAAAAATTCCATATACATTTTTCTATTGCATATTGTCAAATGTTGAAAAGTCAGCAGAACTTCATTTCCAAGGTGTTCTGTTCTTTTGTTGCACGACACAATCAAAAAACCCCCACTTCCCCCCCCCCGGATTTTGTGTCATTTGTAGGATTGTGCACATACAGCACACGTTTATTAAAAGTTCTTACTTTCTCTCCTAACAGGAGCAGCTGTGGCTTTTTAAGACAATATTCAGCTACTTTTTGGCATTCAGTTAGACTTTTTGATGTATGAGGGGGAAGAAAGGGAATCCCATCTGTCCGATTATTCTGGAACTGCTCTGAAATAGGAACTCCTTCATAACAAATTCTGCAGCAACATAAAAGATGAATAAATTACTCTGATTATGTCAGGTATTAACAGCACAGAAATAGCTTAGTAGTTAAAGACAAAGAAAAGTAAGTAAAATTTAAATCAAACTAGAAATAATTTTATAGAAATAAATTATGAATGAAACTTTTTTCTAAACTAAAGATTGAAATTACTTAATATACAATGGAAACCTGGTGCCAAACTTGTAATTTTTGTAGTCACACACCAAGTAATTTTAAAACGACTTTCATGATCAGGTCCATGGTGTATATTATAGAAGTCACAAGAAAAATATAACACTAAGTTCTAAATTAGTAAGAAATGCATTACATGCATAACTTCATGCATGGCAATGGCAAATACACCACTCAAGTGCTGTGCTTACAGTCTGATATACTTAAATGTAAAAGA